ACTCTTGACCTGTCAGTATCGCCATCCTGGCGGGTAAGGCATCTCTCAGTGAGAAGGTTAACAAAACACACAAAACACAAAACCCGAATGTGACAATCTTACTGGTCGAAACACGACAGAGCAATCTGAAAAGAGACAGCTTACTTCTGGACTGCGACTCTCCTGAGCGCTACGTTTCGAGTCACCCGCGTAGTGCATCAAGTAGGATAATAAAAGTGAAATCAGAATCGGCTCATAATGAGCCAGTCATCGACTAACCCGACCAATGTGACTTGAATATGCTACTTCACGAGTACACGTGTGCTCGGGAATTCTTCAACAATATTTAAGACATAATAAAGGCATAATATTTTTTGAATGAGATAATCATAGGGCTTTCACACGGGACTGAAACTACGTCCCCGATGTACCGTCAACACGGGCTTGCCGATTTATCGCAATTTAACTGGACCAGCTTCCCAAATAGTCCAACTCCATGGCCAATCTTTCCTGTAGAGAAAGAAATAGGCCCATACGTTGAGATTGAAGTGGGATTTAAATTTCCAGATATCCGATTTATGATCAACGGTGTTCCCGAAGATGTCCACAGACATACCCGCTCCGACAAGTGCCAGCGAAACAGAAATACCCAGCTCACCATATGCTCGGATATCACCATTGTCCGAAGCATTGACCGCAACTTGACCATGGAGTGTGGCTTTCAAAACAGGGAAGAAACCAACTTGGATTATGACCGAGACCGACATCGCTATTTTCCCCGCGTAAATGCCATCCCCACCCCTGCCTTCACCCGTAAGACATACTTCAATGCGCAAGCTTGCAAAGCCAATATCAGCACCCCAAACTAGAGCACATCCAGCGGCGTCGAAAGCAAAGAATAGGACCTCCGTCTCCGGCTGCTTCAAACGGATTGTGACATTGAGGTGAGCTCTATTTTCCGCTATATCTACATCGGTATAAGCCATATATAGGTCGAGGGCCAGTAGCGTGTCGTTAGAGCTATAACCAACATACAGGCAGAATTTACTGACCGACCTGACCACACTATTCCTGCAAGCCGAGGGTAATTGGAACTCTCTATCATCCTGCTCCTGTAAAGGAGAGTGATACTTGTACAGGAAGAACTTGTGTGCAGCAGTGCCATTGGGTAGGCGGAAATAATCGATCGGTGCTACCGACTTATCTCCACGAATATGAGCCTTGTTTGACCTCCACTCGTGGCTCTTCCCATCGTTGAAGAATAGACGAGCCTCCTCGCTAACCAAGCGGGTCTTGATGAACTCAAGGTCTAGTTGTGGCGCCTCATCTCCCGCTGCTGCCAGATCGTGGCTCTTCACGATATCATACGCCGCATAAATATCCTTCATGGCAACATCCAGAGTTAATGCATCATCGAGCTCTTCCCAGTGAGTGATGTCGGACTTGAGATAGACTTTATCATTCTCGAAGGTGTTAATGCCCAAGATTTTCACCATCTGCTTCTGATCCTTGTCAAGATAGAGAACCCAAGCGTTAGAGATTACACCAGTCTGGGCGAGGGCAGTGAAGTTGAGACCCGATTCTGGATCAACACCTTCTGCTCCTCTCCTGAACCATTTGTTAAGCGTCTGTCCACCTTCGTCTACCGAACCTTTATAGACCCAACCATCATCCTCGAGTGTATGATTGGCATTGAGCCTCCGAGAATTGGGCGCATCATGCTTCCCCCAGGTTCCCTGCTTTAGGAGGAATGACTGTTTATTGAAGAGTTCGGAGGTGCTGAAGTGCGTGTCGTTCTGGCTCATGAGGAGATACAGATACGGATGATTTGGCGCTGCTTGAACTACCGCTTGACCGTCCTTGAAGACGAAGACGTCTCGATGTACAGTGAACGACTTGTGATCATCCCAACCAGGTAGAACCAGCCCTTCAGTTTCCATAGCCTTGGAGATGTGACATGCCACTGGCTTCCCTTTGGTGTCCCTCAAGTCAAGATTGCAGAAATGTGTCGTCTTCATCTGCATGCGAGTGTTGCCCATCTTGAAGACACATATCCCACCACGTATGAAGAGGACAACGAGGAGGATGTTCAACATCGGGATGATAAACGGAGCTGCTAACTTTTCAGTGCAAAGCTACTGTTCGACTCAAAGCAATTATGTTTTTCAACTCGATGCTCATACCTAACGCGGATGAAAAAACGACTATTACTGACTTCTTCAACTATTACTCAATCTACTATCACAATCCAGTGATAGCACAAACTCATTAGACAGATACATTGTAGCTCAACGCGGTATGCGGGGATGCACTTGTGACACGCGTGAATCAATTTCACGCGTAGTGTCTCATTCGTGAAATGCGATGTAGTCATACCACTCGCTCCATAAGGAGCCTGTAATTCAGGCCCTGTATATCACGCTGATCACGGAACAGTCGACTAAATGCGTCACTATAAAAACACTTTATTCAGAGACGTTCATCTTACGAGGAAAAATGATAGAACCTTGAGGCAAGGTATGGCAATGCTGATGCTGTAACAGCATTGCTGTCGCTTCTGTGCAGCATGCACACGCACACGCATGAGCTGGCTGGCGCCAGTTGTGCTTGCGTAACTGCGTATCCGTTGGTCTTGAGTACGTGCAACAATACTACTCTCTCTATTCGTCTTATCCTACCTTACTACATTCTCTATTCTCTGCTGTCTTGGTACGTACTCCCCTTTCCAACTAGCGTGGAGTTGCTAGTAGAACCCGAACAAAGCGTGTTTGTACCTTGTCGCCTCTTCCTAGTGCTCTTAGCGGTGATCTAGCCAATGGCGACCACATCCATAGGCTACGGTCGTGTCCAAAAAACAGGTATAGATGTGTACGTAAGCACATAGCGAACATAAGGCCCACGTTAACGCTTTGTATACTGCTGCACCTCAACCTACTCTGCATTGACCATTCAACACCGTGGGACCAGCTTAGTGTAGTTAGGTGTCGCCATATTGTAGATTTACCAACACGGAGGACAAGTATTCAGTTAAAAACCAACTGACAGATCCTAACTAGTGGTAATCCACTCGAACAACTAGTATAACCGCACGCGGCAACCCGCACGCGCAACAATGGAGCAGCACGCATGCGACAGCAAGCACGCATGCATAATGTCAGTGGAGTATCCTAATCCATTATAGACCCGTTTCGCCAGGTAGAGATGTTGTACAATTTCACACTTGTATCCGATGTAAGACGAAAACGTATAATCTCAAAATTTCGCCAGTTTTTCGCTACAACAAAATAAATCACGTCACAGGTGTGTCTCAACTCGCATGCATCATGCATGATGCATGAACTGATGCGCCAAACTGGCAACTCGAGCACAGTGACTGTACGGCAACCAGCGAAAGAGACGGTAATAGACGGTGATGATATAAGACATGAAGGGTACAGTTCGTCAATCACACCATCTATGGCTGTAAGGAAGAGCATACAGAGAGGGATTATGAACAAGCAATGATTTCACGATAATGGTAGAACGATGCGGCGACGCCAAGGGATAGAAAAGATCAAGGCTCACGCGTGCATCGTGGCGTAACTTCTCCCATAACAAAGCTACACCCCTGATAAAATGGTCCCATTCCTCCCATTTATTATCGCTCTCGTAGCTGCCTCAAGCTCCCCGCCAGAGCTATCGAAGACAGGTGGAACATTGTGCCCCAAAGGCAGTGGAAACCAGGAGTACGGATACGTGCAAACAAGCCCTTTGCATAGGTTGGTGAGTCGGAATCTGCTGCATACCATAACAGGAGTGCTGATGCTATACTTATACCAGGTACTTCTACACTATCATACAGGCCGATGGCAATCCTAAAACGGCACAAACCTTCTTATACATCTCTGCAAGAGATGTATAAGCACCAGATGTATAGGCACCGGGACCACCACAGATTCTCTGGTGGTCCCGGTGCCAGCAGC